ATATATATTCTAGGACAGTGTCTCTCAACCTTGGCACTATTGACTTGTGGGGCTGGATAATTCTTTGTTGTGGGAGGCTGTCCTGTTCATTGTAGGATGTTTAGTAGCAACCAACCTTGTCTCTACCCACTAGATGCCACTGTGACAAACAAAAGTATGTCCAGACATTGCCAAATGCGCCCTGGGGAACAAAATTGTCCGTCATTGAGAATCATTGTTCTAGGCTAATACCAAAAGTAGAGTTTTTAATGTTTAATCGTAGAGTTTCTTAAGGCCTTACATTTAATAATAGATTTTTGGTCTTTACCTCATATCTTAGGCAGCTTCCCTTTGCTATCTTGCCCCTCACCTTATGTCTTTGCCATATCATTTAAAGCATTCAATTCCCACACTGAGAAACACCCAGAATATTAAAATAATGCATAGGGCAGATTTCTTTTGTTCATAAAACTGATTGTGGCAAAATTTGATTGGTAAAATCTTTCCATCTGCTGGATGACAATTCTGAGAGAGAGAACAAGAATCGTAGCTGGTTTTGCTGTATTATAGGCAGGTGAAATGCCATCACCAGAAAACTCAAACACTGTGAAGATTAAATGATGCTTAAGAAATATGAAATGAAAAATTAAACCATTTCATGATTAAATTACCTTAAAATTCTCCTCTGTTAGCCCCTCATTTGTTTTGGAATTTCTTATCATAGCAGCCACGTATCTTTTGACTAAATTCCTGATAACTTCCTAGAATTAAAAAAACATGAAGAACCGTTCAGTTTCCTTCTCAGGCTCTCAGTAAAATAAGAAACTAACACAGGAAATAAAACATGCTTAGACCATCTCTGCAACAGAAAATCCTCATAGGATCCAGCCATTTTCTGCAAAAAGAAAAAATGAGTTAAGTCCATTGGCTAACGAATTATTGTGTCTCTGAACTTGGAGGCAGAGTGAGCCAGCAAAATCAAATCCACTCTAAAAGAAAATTTGCCAACCAAGCATAAGGTAAGCATGTATTCACATTTATAGAATAATGGGAGTGGAATATTCATTGAATGGTCATAGTCAATATCCTTTTCCTGCGGGCTGGCTTAAACTTTAACTCTCCTGGTAAAATGAGTTTTTCCTCCTTTTATAAACTTGGGAGAGTCATTCTTCACAGTCACTAAGTCTGCTCGTTTTACTCAGAGTCTATCTACACTTCTCCTTTACAAGGATGGCCTCTTTTTACTTAGCCTCTGGGGGAATGGTACAGACATGGTCACTATGATTTGTATTAGTGATGGTTATGATGATAGCTACCACTCATTATAATGTGTTAGGCACTGTGCTAGGCAAAACACACAAACACACACAACACACACTCACCACTCAATTTTCACAACACTGTAAGTTAAGTTTTATTATTTTCATTCCCATTTTACAAACGAAGCTGAGTCCTAGTGAAGCTGACTCGTCCAAGGTTATACAACTAGTAAATGTCAAAATCAGAATTCAATTCTACTTTAATCTGATTTATGGTCATAACAGCCAATGCTATATTTATTACTTCTATTGCTATGTGAACTTGAAGAAGTCACTAAGATGCCCAAGAACAAATTTTTTATGAGGACTATGAAGCTGAAAATGAAGGCAATGAATCTTGCCTAAGATTTATTATCGCAAAAATGTGTTGGAGACGGGAGTAGTGAGAAGGGTTATCTACCGAAAACTGTATTTGTTGTTTCTCTTTGTTAGTTATGGCCTTGGAGGAACAAAGTTAGGGGAAATGACTTGTGGAATGGATGAATTTTCATCAGTCCTGGCAGAATATTTTTCTACTTTGGGTTTCTTTTGATCAGGAAGGTTAGAGATGGTTCTCTCTTATTTGTGATAGCAAGGATTGCTTTCAAGAGATGTTCCTGATATTTGGATACTTGGTTGTTTTCTGGCTGGTGGGAAAAGTGCTTTATGTTTATTAGATTATTTTTTTTTAAATGTTGAAGTGCTTATTTTTTATTAAAGTCATGTTGTAATTTAGGAAGACCTAAGTTCCTTACATTCAGATAAGCTTTTACTTCATTGAGGTTAGTTTCCTCCTGTTATATATTCATTACTTATTATATATTCCCATTACCATACTTTTTCTTCACAGCATATCTTACATTTCTAATGACTTAATAGTTATAATGTGTTTAATTTCTTTCATCCCTACTAGATAATAAACTTCATAAGGGCAGAAAGATGCTGTCTTTCTTGTTCAGAGTGACTTCTCTCATGTCTAGCTTAGTGTCTGATGTGCAGTAGGTACTCAAATATTTATTGACTGACTGACCAACCACATATTTTATTTAATCTCAAGGAAGATAGCTTGCTAAGTCATGGATGTTGCTGATCAAGCTGAGGCGCTGTTAAAGGGCTATGAAGAGGATTATAAAGCAGGTGATTCCACTCTGAGGAGCTATAAGCCTTTGATGGATCACAGCCTTTCTAAGCCTTCTACCCCAGTCAAATGGGATCATGTCCAGACATAGCCAGAATGGAGTTTACTTCTACTCCACAGAACTATCCACGAACTACTGTGCTTAGTCCCTGTGAGGAAGAGCTTTACCTGATAATGTTGATTTTGTATCAGGCTGTCAGCATGACGTTCCTGTAATTGAAAATGGACAGAGAGGTTACAGCAGCAGTCTCCCAGCACTCTGCCCACCACCCATCTGAATATGTTTCTAAATATTAGAACTGGAGAATGGCACAGGAGCTCCTGCCTGACAAATATCCAAAGCAAACGTAGGATGGAATGATATTATGATGTTTAAGATAGGGAGTATCACAAAGGAGGGAAAGGAGAAAACAGTTTTGTTTCAAAAGAAACCATTTTTAAAAGTCTTACTGTGAAGCTTCTCAAGTTGTGCCTTCTCCGTCTACCATCAGGGTCTCTTTTGGGGCAGAAGGTGTTGTTGAACCAGTTACCGAGGTATAGAAATGACTTGGGGCTGGGGATGATGTTGAAGGGAGGTGGCAAGGTGCCGCCTTCATCAAAGTAACTCATCCAGAGCTTTGTCCTTGCAAACTTCCACTCAATGTCGGCATGATCCTATGAAAGACAGAAGTTCAAGGTTTGGGATGAGAAACTACAAAATGCATCCATGTCTTTTTCTAAACTTTCTACCCACTTCTGTAGAGGGCAATCTGTCAGTGGCTATATATGTTCAAATTACACATACCCTGCGACCCAGTAATCTCACTTTTAAAAATGTATCTTGTCAGGGGCTGGCCAGTTAGCTCAGGTGGTTAGACAGCAGCCTCTAAGACACCAGGGTCTTTGGATCCCCACGTCAGCCATTCCCCCTGCCCGACAAACAAAACAAAAATATATATCTTATCAATATACTTTCAAAAAGATGTATACATAGGGCTGTTCCCTGTAGCACGGCTAGTAATAGCAAAACAACCTAAATACTCAACAGTAGGAGACTGGTTAAATAAATGATGTTAGATCTACAAAATGGCATGCAATATAACTACTAAAATAGAGTAGATGCATAAACATTTTATATATAGAATAGGCATGTGTGTGTATATGTGTGTGTGTGTGTGTGTGTGTGTGTATGCATCTGTCCAAGACCTGTAAGTGAAAAAGCAATATAAAGCACAATATATATTGTGTGCAATGATCCCATTTATACAACTGAAAAACCTTTTATATTACATGTTCTAACAGGTACACACTAAACTATCAATAGTTATTTTTAAGGAGTCAGATTGTGGTGGGGAGGCTTTCTTTTTTTCTTTCAAAAAAATTTAACTTTATCGAGGTATAATTTATACAGGATGAAATTTACCTACTTTAAGTGTCCAATGAGTTTTGATGTATATAACCACCATCATAATCAAGACAGACACACATACTGGTATACATTTCTAGGAGTTTTAAGACCTATATGTATTGCCATAGCCACCACCACAATCAGGATAGACAACAGTTCCATCACTCCAAAATTCCCTAGTGTTGCCCCTTTGTAATCAAATTTTCTTCAACTCCTGTCCCCTGGCAACCACTGCTGTCCTCCATCCCTAGAATTTGCCTTTTCCAAGATGTCATATAAATGGAATTATATAGTAGGTAACCTTTAGAGACTGACTTTTTTTTGGGGGGGGGGGGGCTGGCTGGCCGGTATTGGGATCCAAACCTGTGACCTTGGTAATATCAGCACCATGCTCTAACCAAGTGAGCTAACCAGCCAGTGTGAGACTGACTTATTTTTTACTCAGCATAACACCTTGCAGATTCATCTATATTTTTGTATGTATCAGGTTCATTCAGTGTTATTGCTGAGTAGTTTTTCATTACTTGAATATACCACAGTTTATTCATTTGCCTATTGAAGAATATTTGGGTTTCCAGTTTTTAGCAATTATGAATAAGGATTCAATGAACATTCATGTACAGGTTTTTGTGTGAACATAGGTTTATATTCTTAGCTTAAATATCTAGAAGTGGTATTGCTCGGTCTTATGGTAAGGGTATGTTCAGCTTTATAGTAAACTGCCAAACTGTTTTCCGGAGTGGCTATACTGTTTTCCGGAGTGGCTATACTATTTTTCATTCCCACTGGTTGCTCTATATTCTCTTCAGGGCTTGTTGGACTTTATTTTATTTTAATTTAATTTTTATTTTTTAATTTTTTTAGAAGAGTAAAAAATAGATACTTTATTATCCCAACTTCCCTCCTCAAATCTTTGTTCATTTGAAATAGCCTAGTGTTTATTTTTACATTTAGCCTTACTTTCCCACCACAAAGTCAGTCATATATTAAGAAATCAAAATAGCAAAGGTGTATTATGTGGATACATTTATCATTCTTGCTGCTAATAATTTTTACTCTAGAATGTTATTAAGCTGGAACCAGTGTGGTGTTTGGATTTTAAAAGTTTAGCTATTCTGGTATGTAGTGGGATCTTATTATGGTTTTTTTTTTTTTTTTTTTTTTTTTGGTTTTTTTTCGTGACCGGCAACGGATCGCAACCCTCAGTGTCGTGCCCGTACCGGACCGGGACCGGCAACGGGATCGCAACCCTCGATGTTGCCCCCGCTCCTCGCTCAGCCAGTGAGCGGCCGGTCTGTATGTGGGATCCGAACCCTCGGCGGGAGCGCCGCCGCGCTTCCCAAGCGGCGCACTGTAGCAGTGCACCACCGGGCTGGCCCTTATTATGGTTTTAATTTGCATTTCCCAAATGGCTAATGATGTTGAACATTTATTAATATGCTTATTTACCATCTACATATCTTTGGCGGTGAAGTATTTTTTCAGATTCTTTGCCCATTTTTATTGGGTCATTTATTTTCTTATAGGTGGATTTGAGAGTTTTAAAAAATATATACGTACATATATATATATATATATATATATATACCGAATACAAACCTTTTGTCAAATATGTGACTCACAAATATTTTCTCCCAGTCTGCATCTTGTGTTTTTATTACTTTAATTGTGTCTTTCCCAGAGCAAACTGTTTTAATTTTGATAAAGTCAAAATTGCCAAATTAATTAAATACTCAATTTATCAAAATTTTTAATAGTTGTGCTTTTTGTGTCATGTCTAGGAACTTTTTACCTAACCCAAGGTCATGAAGATTTTCTCCTTTTTTCCTCTACAACTTTTATAGTTGTAAGATTTGCATTTGCTTTCTGATCACTTTGAGTTTCATTTTTTATAAAGGATGAGGTTTACGTTTTCTTTATTTTTATGCAGTTTTAGTTTTGGTGAAATTACGCAGAAGGCACAGATAGTTAGTTCCCATACCGTCCACACACACACATATACACAGTTTCTCCTATTTTTGACATGTTAGTGTGGTACATTTGTTACAATTATGAATCAATATTGATATATTATTATTAACTTAATTTTACATTAGGGGTCCCTCTTTGTATTGTATGATTCTATGGGTTTTGCCAAATGCATAGTGTCATGTATTCACCATGATAGTATCATACAGAAAAGTATTGCTGCACTAAAAATCCTCTGTGCTTCACCTATTCATCCCTCCTGCCCTCTCTCTCCCTTCCTTGTCCCCTGAAACCCTGGGAACCACTGATTTCTTTTTTCCATTACCTCAAACATTTATCCTTTCTTTGAGTTGGAAACATTCAAAATCCTCTCTTCTAGCTAATTGAAACTATACAATAAATTGTTAATTATGGTCACCCTACAGTGCTATAGAACACTAGATATTTTTCCTCCTATCTAGGTGCATTTTTGTATCTGTTAACCAACCTCTCACTATCCCTCTTCTCCACTACCCTTTCCAGTCTCTGGTAACCACTATTCTGTTCTCTACTTCTATGTGATCAACTTTCTTAGCTTCCACATATCAGTGAGAACATGTGGTGTTTCTTTTTCTGTTCCTGGCTTACTTTACTTACCATACTGTCCTCCAAGCTCATCCATGTTGCCATGAATGACAGGATTTCATTCTGTTTTTATGTCTAAATAATATTCCATTGTGTTTATATACCAAATTTTCTTTATCTGTTCATTGATGGACACTTGGGTTTATTCCATATCTTGGCTATTGCAAATAGTGCTGCAGTAAACATGGGAGTGCAAATATCTCTTTGATGTACTGATTTCCTTTCCTTTGGATATATACCCAGATGTGGGATTGCTGGATCATATGGTAGTTCTATTTGTAGTTTTCTGAGGAATTTACAGACTGTTTTCCATATGGTTGTACTAATTAACATTCCCACCAACAGTGTATAAAGAATTGCTCTTTCTTTGCATCCTCACCAGCATTTGTTTGTTTTCTGTCTTTTTGATAATAGCCATTCTAACTGGGGTGAGATGATATCTTATTGTGATTTTGTTTTGCATTTCCCTGATGATTAGCGTTCTTGAGCATTTTTTTCATACACCTGTCGACCATCTGTATGTCTTCTTTTGAGAAATGTCTATTCAGCTCATTTGCCCATTTTTTGATTGGATTATTTGTTTTCTTGCTGTTGAGTTGTTTGAGTTCCTTGTATATTCTGGATATTAAACACTTGTCGGATGCATACTTTGCAAATATTTTCTCCTGTTCTGCAGGTTGTCCCTTCACTCTGTTGATTATTTCCTTTGCTGTGCAGGAACTTTCTAGTTTCATATAATTCCATTTGTCTATTTTTGCTTTCTTTGCCTGTACTTTTGAGGTCCTCTTCATAAAGTCTTTGCCTAGCCTGATGTACTGGAGTATTTCCCCTATGTTTTCTTATAGTAGTTTCATGGTTTCAGGTCTTACATTTAAGTCTTTAATCCATTTTGAGTTGATTTTAGTATATGATGAGAGATAGGGGTCTAATTTCATTCTTCTGCATATGACTGTCTAGTTTTCCCAGCACCATTTATTGAAGAGACTGTCCTTTCCAATGAGTACTCTTGATGCCTTTATTGAAAATGAGTTGGCTGTAATACATGGCTTTAAATAAATGATAGTGGAAAAAAAATCAACTGGGCATGCTAGACTACTAGATATCCACATTCAAAAGAATGAAGTTGAACTCCTATGTGGACAAAACAATGCAAAATGATCACAGACCTACATTTAAGATATAAAAACGATAAAACTAAAAATGTTAGGGGTAAATCTTCATGACCTTGGATAAGACAATGATTTTTTATATATGACACCTAAAGCCAAGTGACAAAAGAAAAAAATAGGTAAATTGGACCTCATCAAAGTAAAAAAACTTTTGTACTTTGAAGGACACCATAAAGAAATGGAAAGACAACCCATATAATAGAGAAAATAATTGAATGTCATATCTGATGAGGAACTTGCATCAAGACATATAAAGAACAATTTCAAGTCAACAATAAAAAGACAAATAAACCAATTAAAAAATGGGTAAGGCACTTGAATAGACATTTCTCCAAATAAGATGTACAAGTGGCCAAGAAACACCTGAAAAGATTCTCAACATCATTAGTCATTAGGGAGATTCAAATCAAAACCACAATGAGATACCACTTCATACCCACTAGGATGACTACAATAAAAAAAGACATATAATAACCAGTGTTAGTGAGGATATGGAAAAATTGGTC